GTTCATTCATGGGTCCGCTATATTCATGTATAAAGCAGGTGGAGAGTCTGAGTTTTATGGTGAGAAGTACAGGAAAGGGAAAGCCAGCATGTTGTAGTGATTTGGGCAATGGACTCTGCTCCTGGAAACCAGGGTTTTAATCCCTGCTCAGTCATGAAAACACACTGAGGGCGCATCCACACAGGATAGAAAATGCACACCCTTAAGCAAGACTGGCGTATATATTTGTTTATATTTAGTTGTATTTGCCGGAGGCTTTCTTGTGTTTCCCCGTTCTCTAAGCTGCCCTCCCTCTGCAAAGAATTGATTGAACTTCTTGAGAAACTTACAGTTTCATTCTGCTGCCACTTGCAGCTCCTTATGTTCTTCTTCTTTGTTTTAAAATTAGCTGGGCTGGCAGTGTGTGCAGGACAATGCCTGCTTTCCACTCCCCAGTCCGCACCGCCGCTGCACCTTTACCGGACCCTCTTGACCCTCTACCTCAGTGGTTCTCAACCTTCCTAATGCCACGACCCCTTAATATGCTTCCTCATGTTGTGGTGACCCCCAACCAAAGAAATTATTTTCTTTTCTATTTCATAACTGTCATTTTGCTGCTGTTATGAATAGTAATGTAAATATCTTATATTCAGGATGTATTTTCATACACTGGACCAAATTTGGCACAAACACCCAATACACCCAAATTTGAATACTGGTGGGATTGGGGGACGGTATTGATTTTGTCCTGTGGGAGTTGTAGTTGCTGGGATTTATAGTTCACCTACAATCAAAGAGCATTCTGAACTCCACCAACGATGGAATTGAATCAAACTTGGCACACAGAACTCCCATGACCAACAAAAAATACTGAAAGGGCTTGGTGGGCATTGACCTTGAGTTTTGGGACTTTTAGTTCACCTACATCAAGAGAGCACTGTGGACTCAAACAATGATGGATCTGGACCGAACTTGGCACAAATTCTCAATATGCCCAGATACACTAGAGAGAATGGTCAACATTAAGGGATGGAATCATTGGGACCCAGAGACAGATGACAATAATGGTAAGCATGTGCCTATTAATGAGATTACAGCTGCTGGAAATGGAGGGAATATCCCCGGGGGGGTTGGGACCGTGGGTGGGGGAGCCGCCATAGAGGTGGTGACTGGTAGGGGGAGATACAGGAAAGGGAGAATAAAATTTCCATTTCGGCCCAAAATTTATAACAATAAATTGGCTATTCCTAAAGATGCTAGAAATCAAAGACAAAAGCAAATTCGGCCCAAAATCTTTAATAGGACATTGGCAATTCCAAAAATCAACACTACTGTTCGGCCCGAAATTAACAAAAATAGATTGGCAATTCCAAAACTTACTCCCGACAAAATACAACTGAGGTGCCAAGATGGTGGCCCCTCCAAGCTAAAGGTGGTGTTGTTCAATGCCAGGTCGGTAAATGGAAAAGCTTTCATCATACAAGATCTAATCCAAGAAGAACGAGCCGACCTGGCCTGTATAACGGAGACCTGGTTGGACGAGGGGGGAGGGGTTAACCTCTCCCAACTCTGTCCACCAGGTTACTCTGTTCAGCACCAACCAAGGCTTGGAGGGCGGGGAGGCGGAGTCGCAGTGGTCTATAAGGATTATATCCCACTGATCAGGTGTCCCTTTCCACAATCATCTTCATTTGAATGTGCCGGCTTTAGGATAGGTGACCGGGACAGGATAGGGATTCTGGTAGTGTACCGACCACCCCGCTGCACTACAGTCTCCCTACCTGAGCTAGCGGGAGTGGTCTCGGACATGGTGTTGAACTCCCAACGGCTTTGGTCCTGGGAGATTTCAACATCCATGCCGAGGCCGCTCTCTCTGGAGCGGCTCAGGACTTCATGGCCGCCATGGCAACCATGGGCCTGTCCCAACTAATATCTGGTCCCACCCATAGTGCCGGACACACCTTGGATTTGGTCTTTGCAGGGATGGGATGAGGGTGACGGAATGGAGGAGCCGACCATCGCCCCTTTGCCATGGACCGATCACCACCTGATCAGTTTTAGACTAACTGTGCCTTCTAACCTTCGCAGGGGTGGTGGACCCATTAGAATGGTCCGCCCCAGGAGACTGATGGATCCAAATGGTTTCCTGATGGCTCTTGGGGATTTTTCCACCTTCTTGGCTAGCGACACTGTCGATGCTCTGGTCTCTGGCTGGAATAGTGAGTTGACCAGGGCAATTGACACTATCGCTCCGGAACGCCCCCTCTCGAGTAACCGAGCTAAACCAGCTTCTTGGTTTACTGAGGAGCTGGCAGCTATGAAGCGAAAGAAGAGGAGGCTAGAGCGCGTGTGGCGCCAGAATCCCACCAATCAAGCCCAAACACACCTGAAGACCTTTTTAAGGTCCTACGGTGTGGCAATAGAGGCAGCTCAGAAAACATTCATCACAGCCAATATTGCATCAGCGAAGAATCGTCCAGCTGAGCTTTTTCGAGTTGTCAGGGGCCTGTTAAATCCGCCAAAAAGCGAGGCCTCGGATAACTCGGTGGCTCGCTGTGAAGCATTTGCTCGATCCTTCGCGGATAAAATTGAGCGGATTCGGTCTGGATTCGACGTCATGTTAACGGCAGTCTCTGGGGATGTAACGAGAGCACTGCTTGTCCAGGTTTGTTGGATTCGTTTCAATTGGTTCAGCTTGAGGATGTGGACAGGATCCTTGGAGAGGTGCGACCCACTACATGCATCCTAGACCCCTGCCCATCCTGGCTGGTCAAGGAAGCCAGAGGGGGTTTGGCAGAGTGGGTGAAGGTGATGGTTAATGCCTCCTTACAGGAAGGAGAGTTTCCAGCGAGCTTAAAACAAGCTATTATAAAACCGCTGTTGAAGAACCATCACTGGATCCCACTCAATTCGACAACTATCGGCCAGTTTCCAATCTCCCCTATTTGGGCAAAATCATGGAACGTGTGGTGGCAACACAACTCCAGGGGTTTCTGGTAGACACTGATTATCTAGATCCGGCACAGTCTGGCTTTAGGCCGGGACATGGAACTGAGACAGCCTTGGTCGCCTTGGTAGATGATCTGCGCAGGGAACTAGACAGGGGGAGTGTGTCCCTGTTGGTTCTGCTGGACCTCTCAGCGGCCTTCGATACCGTCGATCACGGTATCCTTCTGGGTCGCCTCATGGATATGGGGCTCGGTGGCACTGCTTTGCGGTGGCTCCGATCCTTCCTAGAGGGTCGGACCCAGAAGGTGTTACTGGGTGACACCTGTTCGGCCCCACAACCGTTGTTGTGTGGAGTCCCACAGGGTTCAATCTTGTCCCCGATGTTATTTAACATCTACATGAAGCCGTTGGGAGAGATCATTCGGAGTTTCGGACTAAGATGCTATCTCTATGCAGATGACGTCCAAATCTGTCACTCCTTCTCACCTGTCACTAAGGAGGCTGTCCAGACCTTGAACCGGTGTTTAGCTGCTGTGTCGGACTGGATGAGAGCTAACAAATTGAAATTGAATCCAGACAAGACAGAGGTCCTACTGGTCAGTCGCAAGGCCGAACAGGGTATAGGGTTACAGCCTGTGTTAGACGGGGTTACACTCCCCCTGAAGACGCAGGTTCGCAGCTTGGGAGTGATCCTGGACTCATCGCTGAGCCTGGAACCTCAGGTCTCAGGCGGTGGCCGGGAGAGCTTTTGCACAATTAAAACTTGTGCGCCAGCTGCGCCCGTACCTTGGGAAGTCGGATCTGGCCACGGTGGTCCACGCTCTTGTCACATCCCGGTTGGATTACTGCAACGCACTCTACGTGGGGTTGCCTTTAAAGACTGCTCGGAAACTTCAATTAGTTCAGCGAGAAGCAGCCAGATTGCTCACCGGAGCTGCGTACAGGGAGCACACCACCCCCCTGTTGCGTCAGCTCCACTGGCTGCCGATCCAATTCCGAGCACAATTTAAAGTGCTGGTTTTGACCTATAAAATCCTATACGGTTCCGGCCCAGTGTATTTGTCCGAACGGATCTCCCTCTACGTCCCACCTCGAAGTTTAAGATCTTCTGGGGAGGCCCTGCTCTCGACCCCGCCAGCATCACAAGTGAGGCTGGCGGGGACGAGGAGCAGGGCCTTCTCAGTGGCGGCCCCCCGCCTATGGAACGCACTTCCCGGGGAGATTAGATCGGCGACCTCCCTCCTAGCATTCAGGAAAAACCTAAAGACCTGGATGTGGGATCAAGCTTTTGGTCACTCTGATAATTAAATCAAGGGCTGGCATTAGACAATGACTAACTGAATAGAACGGATGTATGGATGCTGATATTCTGGACCCTATCATGAGATTGTTTTAGGATTTATGTTTTTACTATGTATTGTTGTTTAACTTAATTGTTGTTTTTATATCTTGATTATTGTTGTGTGCTTGGGCATCTAATTGTGCCCTCTATGTAAGCCGCCCTGAGTCCCCCTAGGGGTGAGAAGGGCGGGGTATAAGTGAATGAAATAAATAAATAAATAAATAATAAATAAATTATTTTATTTTTTTGGATTGCATTTTTGTATTGTATTTTTTTTTGGTTTGTATTGCATTTTTTATTTTATTTTTTGTTTGCATTTTTATATTGTATTTTATTGTATTTTTATTTTATTTTTTTGGTATTGCATTTTTGTATTGTATTTTTTTTGTATTGTATTTTTTTATTTTTTTGTTTGTATTGCATTTTTGCATTGTCTTTGCAAAAAAAAATGGGGATTTTCCATCCTTGAAAAAAAAGAAAGAAAAGAAAGAAATTAAATGCGGGTTTGTTTTTTTAAAAAAAAAAGGAGAGAAAGAAAAAACTCTCCTTCTTTTGCTTTCTCTCTCTCTCTCTCTCTCTCTCTCTTTGAGCAAAAAGGAAGGCGTTTGGGCACGTAGCGCACGCGCCAGAAAGGCTAGGCGAGCCTGGCGAGAGGCGCGTCCTGACCAATCAGGAAGGAGCCGGGGACCCAGCCAGCCAATAAAACGCCGAGTCCCGGGCATTGATTTGCATACGCCCGGGTTATAGCTCAGCGCGAGCCAGGCGGATCTTCCCCAGTTGCACAGGAAGCAGCGGCCTTTGCAATTCTCTTGCTTGGGTATTTTTGCAAACAGTAAGTAGTTTTCTATCATTGTAAGTTACTTTTTTTTGGTATTGCCAGGCTCTGTTCTTAGTCCTAGGTAAGTGCTTGGGTGTTAGCGTATGTGATTATTATTTGGATAATATATTCTAAATTCCTGCAGTGGATTTGGTTGCAAAGGGAACAAAGGACCACTTTGCATCCATCCCCAAATATCTAGGTAGTTATTTAAGGTCCTCTTCCATCAGAGCAAGGCCCAAAATGCAGAAGGAAGGCCCCAAATAAAGGAGAAGTGAGCCTACCATGGGCTGAGACAGTGTGGCTATTTTCTTTACTTAAAGTAGTATATTATATTTATTTCTATAATATAATATATTTTATTATAATATAATAATGTAATATGATAATATAATTATTTAAAATATTATATTAATATATTTTAATATATTAATATGATAATATAATTATTTAATACATTATATTAATATATTTTAATATATTAATATGATAATATAATTATTTAATACATTATATTAATATATTTTAATATATTAATATGATAATATAATTATTTAATACATTATATTAATATATTTTAATATATTAATATGATAATATAATTATTTATTGTTTTGTATCTAATTATGTTGTATTATTTTTGGGCTTGGCCTCATGTTAACTGCCCCAAGTCCCTTTGCGGAGATGGTGGTGGGTTATAAATAAAGTTTATTCTTATTAATATCATGTAATCAATCATCTATCTGTAGGTGTGTGTGTGTGTATGTATATAATGTAATATAAATATTACTATATTGTAATGTAATCAATCATAGCTCTGCGTGTATGCATTTTATGTAATATTATATAATAATGTAATATTTTATAATATTGATATATATAACAATTTATTAGTTAATATAATATATTAATATATTATAATGTAATCAATCATATATCTCTTTGTATGTATGTCATATTATATAATATAATAATATTTTGTAATATTGGTATATAATTAATATAATATATTAATATAACATTATTATATTTATTTTTATAATATGATAATATATTATAAGTGCATATTTAATATATAATATAATAATTTCATATTTAAGTGCTCTTAAATATTATTTAATAATAATGTCATGGTTAATAAAATTAAATAAATAAATAGATAGATAAATAATATTCTTATTTGCAGCCAGAGTTGGAATTCTCCAGGCCCAGATAATAATTATTATATTATTAATAATAATAATAATGTATTATTATAAAACATTATGTGTAGAACTATTTTATTTTTTTATTTATATTATATAATATTTATTTTTGCAATATTTTCCCACATGACCTAATATTCTTGAAAACTAAGCAACTGGATTAAAAAAATGAATGTAACAACATGTGTGTCTTGGAACATAAAAATATTAAAATATATTTTAAAATATGCTTAAAAGTACACATCCCCTCCAAAATCTGATTCATTTGCCCAAGGTCATCTGTGGCTGAGCGAGGATTCGAACTCTGTCCTCTAGAGTGATAGCTGTCTGGTTTCTTTGTTACCTAATATAGTATTATTATTATTATTATTATTATTATTGCAATAATTCTTCAGAGAGGCTTTCCCTTGACTTCTGAGGCTGAGAAAGTGTGACTTTGCCCAAGGTCACCCTCTGGGTTTCCATCTCTGAGCAGGGATTCCAATCTGAGAAACCGCTCTGCGTTCTTTGGTTCTTCTTAGATCTTATCAGAAGCATAATATAATCATAATATAATAATAATTTTAAGTGCATAATATTTAATTTTCCCATCTGCAGCCAGGCTTGGAATTCTCCAGGCCCAGATAATAATTATATAATATCATAATGTAATATAATATTATAATATAGTATGTTAATGTAATATATTCTAATATATCATAATATTGGAGTGCATATTTAATATTCCCATTTGGAGCCAGGCTTGGAATTCTCCATGTCCAGATAATAATTATATAATATATTATTATTATTATTATATAATATTATAATATAATATTTCAGTGTATATTTAATATTCCCATTTGGAGCCAGGCTTGGAATTCTCCATGTCCAGATAATAATTATATAATATATTATTATTATTATTATATAATATTATAATATAATATTTCAGTGTATATTTAATATTCCCATTTGGAGCCAGGCTTGGAATTCTCCAGGCCCAGATAATAATTATATAATATCATCAGGTAATAATTATATAATATCATAATGTAATATAATATTATAATATAGTAGGATAATATAATATATTATAATATAGTACAATAATATTTGAGTGCCTATTTAGTATTCCCATTTGGAGCCAGGCTAGGAATTCTCCAGGACCAGATAATAATTATGTAATATAATATAATAATATGACATTATAATAGAATATAATATTTAAGTGTAGATTTAATATTCCTGTTTGGAGCCAGGCTTGGAATTCTCCAGGTCCAGATAATAATAATAATAATAGTTATTATTATTATTATTATTATATAATATGATGTTATAATATAATATAATAATATTTAAGTGTATATTTAATAGTCCTATTTGAAGCCAGGCTTGGAATTCTCCAGGTCTAAATAATAATAATAATTATTATTATTATTTTATTATATGATAATGTGATATTACAATATAATATAATATTTAAGTGTATATTTAATATTCCTATTTGGAGCCAGGCTTGGAATTCTCCAGGTCCAGATAGGAATATTAAATATGCACTTAAATATTATATTATAATATCATATTTAATAATAATAATAGAATAGTATATAATTATCTGGATTGGGAGCATTTCAAGCCTGGGTCCAAATAGGTAAAGGTTGTCCCCTGACATTAAGTCCAGTTGTGTACGACTCTGGGGGTGTGGTGCTCATCTCCATTTCTAAGCCGAAGAGCTGGCATTGTCCGTAGACATCTCCAAGGCCATGTGGCCAGCATGACTGCATGGCGTGCAAATAGGGATATTAAATATACACTTAATTATTGTAATATAGCATAATAATAATAGAATATTATATAATTATTATATGGAGAATTTCAAGCCTGGGTCCAAATAGGAGTATTAAATATGCACTTAAGATATTATGCATAGGCTTTGCAACACTTCCTTTTTGCACATAGGGTTTGACTTCCAAGTTTGGGCCCAGGGAATCCCTGCAACCCCTTCGGTCAAGTGTCCGGTGGCCTAAAATAGTCGAAACTAAAGACGGTGGGGAGAGGGGAAAAGTGGTCCACAGCAGTCGGGTTAGGAGACACCATGCTTTGCATGCCATAAGCTCCTTCCGTATGAACATGCAGTTGCAGCCATGCGCCGAATACAGGAAGGGAGTTTCCTTCTCAAGGCTGTGATTCACATTACGGCGAATTGCGTCACTAGGATTTATTGCAGCAGAGCAGTGTCCTTGCTGCAGGGTATTCTCAAAGGTTGCTTCCCCTCCCAATACGTGTGTGTGTGTGTGTGTGTATACTCCTTTTGTGTGTATACTCCTTTGGCCTGGCAATGTGTTCAGGCCTGCTTGCACCTAAAACATTGTTCATCCTCTAATAATGATTTACGTCCTTGGTTGCAAAGTACACCTTGGTGCTTTTGACCCTTTCCCACTCTTGCAACAATATTTGGGAACAAAGTCAATCAGGGAGGGTATCTGCCTAACGTTAGCTTGGCCTTTGTCGCCTGGAGGCACCCTCTGTGGGATAATGTCCAGGGTGGGAGAAAGTACTCTTGCCTGTGAATGTTGCAATTGACCACCTTGATTGGCATTGAATAGCCTTGCAGCTTCAAAGCCTGGCTGTGAGGGTATCTGCATGGAGGTAGCCAAGCCATTGTTACCTGGAGGCACCCTCTGTGGAATAATGTCCAGGGCGGGAGAAAGAACTCTTGCCTGTGAATGTTACAATTGACCACCTTGATTGGCATTAAATAGCCTTGCAGCCTCAAAGCCTGGCTGTGAAGGTATCTGCATAGAAATAGCCTGGCCATTCTTGCCTGTGAATGTTGCAGTTGACCACTTTGATTGGCATTGAATAGCCTTGCAGCTTCAAAGCCTGGCTGTGAGGATACCTGCCTAGAGGTAGCCTGGCCTCTGTTGCCTGGAGGCACCCTCGGTGGAATAATGTCAAGGATGGGGAAAGAACTTTTTCCTGTGAATGTTACAATTGACCACCTTGATTGGCATTGAATAGCCGTGCAGCTTCAAAGCCTGGCTGTGAAGGTATCTGCGTAGAGGTAGCCTGGCCGTTGTTGCCTGGAGGCACCCTCTGTGGAATAATGTCCAGGGTGGGAGAAAGAACTCTTGCCTGTGAATGTTGCAGTTGACCACCTTGATTGGCATTGAATAGCCTTGCAACTGTAAAGTCAATCAGTGAGGGTATCTGCATAGAGGTAGCCTGGCCATGGTTGCCTGAAATAATGTCCAGGGTGGGAGAAAGAACTCTTGCCTGGGAATGTTGCAATTGACCACCTTGATTGGCATTGAATGGCCTTGCAGCTGCAAAGTCAATAAGTGAGGGTATCTGCCTAGGGGTAGCCTGGCCTTTGTTGCCTGGAGGCACCCCCTTTGGAATAATGTCCAGGGTGGGAGAAAGAACTCTTGCCTGCTTGAGGCAAGTGTGAATGTTGTCATTGGCCACCTTGAATGGCCTTGCATCTTCAAACCCTGGCTGCTTCCTGACTGGGTAATCCTTTGTTGGGAGGTGTTAGCTGGCCCTGATTGTTTCCTGTCTGGAATTCCCCTGTTCTAATCAAGACGGCCAATTGCAACATTCACATTTGCCTCCAACAGACAAGAGTTTTTTCTCCCACCCTGGACATCATTCCACAGATATATCAGCCCCACTTGCCTAGTTTCCAACAGACCCCACAACCTCTGAGGATGCCTGCCATAGGTGTGGGAGAAACGTCAGGAGAGAGTGCTTCTGGAACATTGGCTATAGTAAAAGTTTCGTCTTGACATTAAGTAAATAAATAAATAATTCCCCCAGGCAGGAAGC